CTTGCCCATCGCATGTGTCGTTTCCATGTGTGCATTGTGCGCACATTGTGACGGCAAACCGTTGTCAAAGCATGAAATGTGAACAATGATATGCTGTGGCCGCGCATTGGGGGCGGGCGGCACGACGGAAAGGCGGCAGTGCCGCCTGCGCATGCCCCTTCCCTGGCCCTGTTACGCTTGCATCGAGACAATAGTTGCAGGGGTCACCTGCTGTTTATCATAATCGTTCAAAGACATAATCGTTCAAAGACATGTGGGGCAAACTAATGTTCGGCGCCCGATGAGCTGGCAGTCATTTGAAGCAAGCGGCCGGCCGGCTGATATCCCTTCCTGAAACTATCAGCAGGCTATCAGGATCGAAGGCACCGAGTCTCGACACAACACACAAGTCTCTGCCCCGCTACCGAGGCTCCGGGAGCAGGCTCCCGCGGTGGCAGGATGGGCATCCAGGTGCCGTGTGCTGCTCTGGATTCCCGCGGAGGAGATTGCGGCCTCTCCCTTTGAGGATCACATCAGTCCAGCTCCTTTGAGACATTGTCTGTTGCTGTGCACGCCCCCAAACAACGTGGGAGCGCCATTCCTGCCAGTCCGGGGTGCCGCGGACCCGGCGCTTCTGCTGCTGGACAGCCGCCGCCGCAGCACCTGCCGCCCGCCTGCAGCACCTCCACCTCGTCTTGCCCTCCCCATGCAGGGCCTCACCAAGCTGCTGGGTGATGCTGCCCCAGGGTGCATGAAGGAGCAGAAGTTTGAAAACTACTTTGGACGCAAGATTGCGGTGGACGCATCCATGCACATCTACGCCTTCCTGGTGCGGTGATTGGATGCTGCCGTTTGCCTGCCCGCACAGGACTTTGCACGCACTGCAACCATCCTAGCACAGCTGTCACCGGGTGCAGGTAGTGGTGGGCCGCCAGGGCGACCAGATGCTGACGAGTGAGACGGGCGAGGTGACCAGGTAGGGAACCGACCGCACAGCCACGCTGGCCTGGGGGATGCCTGCCCTCTTGTCTGCCCCCTGGTACGCGTGATGCCTTAGAAGCCGCATCCGTTGCTCCCATTACTGCCCCGCAGCCACCTGCAGGGCATGTTCTTCCGCACAGTGCGCATGCTGGAGGCGGGGATGAAGCCTGTGTGAGTATCCAATTCGCAGCGCCTGCGTTGGCCCAAATGCCGGCAGGCCTGGCTGGGCCTGCACACTCGCCCCAGGAATGTACGACCTCCCCGCCGCCGCCCTGCCCTGCCTGCATGTGCAGGTTTGTGTTTGAGGGCAAGGCTCCGGAGCTGAAGCGCGAGGAGCTGGCCAAGCGCAGCAACCGGCGTGAGGACGCCAACACCGAGCTGGAGGCGGCAAAGGAGGTACACTAGCGATGGCGGAGGGGGGGGCGTACACAAGTCCATCATGGGTTCGCAGGAATCCACCCCCTACACTTCCCCCATACCATGCTGCTGCCTCTGCCACTGTCCTGCAGGCGGGAAACGCGGAGGATGTAGAGAAGTACAGCAAGCGAACGGTGCGTTCCCCTGAATGTTGCGCTGGCTAAGATACTTGTTTGCTGCCTATCACACTCATCTCATGCCTCCATGCCCTGTTGCCGCGCTTGCAGGTGCGCGTGACGCGGGAACACAACGAGGAGTGCAAGCGCCTGCTGCGCCTCATGGGTGTGCCGGTGCTGGAGGCGCCAAGCGAGGCAGAGGCGCAGTGCGCACAGCTGTGCAAGGACGGGCTGGTGAGCAGGGCAAGCCGATCGCCGAAGCGGGTTGGAGCAGGGTCTGGCTCATTGCCTGCTGGGCTGGGCTGCCTGCCTTGGCGCTTGCACGCTTGGAGTGCCCGCGGTTGCAACCTTGTCCCCACCCCCATCCCAGCCCCTTCTCTGACATCTGCCCCATTGTGCCGCCTTGCGTACCCATAGGTGTATGGCATCTCTACCGAGGACATGGATTCCCTCACCTTTGGCACCCCCAAGCTCATCCGCCACCTCATGGCACCCTCCAGCCAGAAGCCTCTGGCCATGGAGTTTGACCACGAACTGGTGGGTGGGGGCCAGGAAGGAGTGGGTGAGGATGCATCCAGAATGGTTGCAGCAGCGGGGGCCTGTCTTTGCTAGTGCCCTGGTTGTTGTGTAGCTCGGCACCAGAATTCGTCGACCTTACCGCCCTTGGCCCTTCTGCACCCTGCCCCTTCCCAAAGGTGCTCAAGGAGCTGGAGCTGACCGAGGATCAGTTCATCGACCTGTGCATCTTATGCGGTTGCGACTACACAGCCAAGATCAGCGGCATCGGCGCGGTGCGTACCGCCCTCTTGCCCTGCCCTGCAGTTTGCACTTTGTCTGCTGCCCACCGTGCCTCTGGGGCTGGCACTCACGCTTGCCCTGTGCCTGCCGCATTCAGGTGCGCGCGCTGAGCCTGATCAAGAAGCACGGCAGCATTGAGGGGGTGCTGGCGGCGCTGGACTCCAAGAAGTATCAGATACCGGAGCCCTTCCCCTACCAGGAGGCGCGCCGCCTGTTCAAGGGTGGGTGCAGAGAGGGTTGGGTGGGATGCCGGGTATTTATGCCCAATGAGCCTTGACTGGCTGTCTGGATGCTTTTGTGCCCTGCTGTCACTGCCGCACCACAATACGTACTGTGCTGCGCTGCCCTGCTCATTCGGCTGTCTGGTTACCGCCCACCATTGCGTCCCTCGTGCCCGCCGCACAGAGCCGGACGTGGTCAAGGGCGACCAGATCCCGCAACTCAAGTGGACCTCGCCCGACACAGGTGGTTCTGCTGCCCAAAAGGCTAGCCATGGCGCCACAGGGGCGTGCCAGCGTGCGCCATCGACCTGGGATGCTGCCGGCCCTCCGTGTTGGGTCGTGCTCCAATTCTCTCCTGCCTTTTGCCTGCCCGGCCCCACCTGCAAGGCCCCACCGGCCTGCAGAGGGCCTGATCGACTTCCTGGTGAAGGAAAAGACATTTGCGGAGGACCGCATCCGCAAGGCGGTAGAACGCATCAATGCGGCTAAGGGCAAGGCCAGCCAGGGCCGGTTAGAGAGCTTCTTCGGCCCCGCCAAGGTGGTCAGCAGCACGATGGGCAAGCGCAAGGAGGTGCCCGTGGCGGCCAAGGGCAAGAAGGGCAGCAGCGGCGCGGCTCCCAAGAAGGGCAAGCTGGGCGGCATGGGCAAGAAGAAGTAGACCCTTTCTTGCCATCTTTTTGTACCATACCAAAGCAACACCTGATCCATTCAAATTTATTTTGCTGTGAAGAGCTTCACTTCGCAGGGGAGCGAGAGGTTGAGGAGGGTTGCATGCACTGCCAATCCAAATGCAGCTGGTGATTGGGCGGCGCATCCAGGTGGTAATGTTCTTTTACGCGCTCCTACGTCTCCGTTTTGTTTCGGTTTCTGGCGCTGTTGACGCCAGGTTACCGCTTTTTATTGGGCACTGCCGCTTTCGCGCTCGCCCAGCCAGTCAACGCACTTGCGAACCGCAGGTCTGTGGCTGCCCTGGCTGGCTCTCCTTGCTGTCTTGCCATCGCCCTACGTACATATTCTACTTTGAGGCCGCCGCAGGGTGCAGCGAGGATGCCACCACGCGTCTCAGCCCTCACAGCCCTGCTGCTGGGGGCGGCAATGGCCAGCGCGGCGCTGCCAGCCTCCTACAACACCCCGCCTGCCGGCCTCTCCCCGGCTGAGGTGCGCCCCGCCAGAGCAGGCGCTCCCGACTGGTTACGCGGCCGCCCGCCGGCTGAGGCGACCTGCTGCCTGCCTCGCCTGCCTGCAGACGCCTCAGTTTGTGCTGCTGACGCACGATGATGCCATCACTGTGACATCTAACAACGCTGTTGGCTCTGTGATCAAGCCTTTTACCAACCCCAATGGGTGAGTGACTGCTAATCCAACGGCTTGAATCCGGCACCCGCCTTAAGCGCCCCCAACGGTGCTGCAGGGGCCAACTAGTGTCCTGCTACAGGTGGCCCGCTGACCTGCCCACCCTTTCCCTGCATGCAGGTGTAATGTTCCCGTGACTTGGTTTGTCAGCGGTGGAGGTGGCAGTAATTGCGCCATCATTCGCCGCCTACATGCCCAGAACCACGGCAAGGCGCAGGGTGCCGAGAGCCGGGTTGTGGCCTACTCGCTCAGCTCAAGTCGTATGTGTTCACCTCATTCCATGCCTGGCTGTATGCAGAGATTGCCACGCATACTTTTTCCCATGTCCAGCTGCTGGCCGGCTCGGTCAACATAACCGACGAGGTACAGAAGCAGCGCCTTTACTTGAACGTGACCTGCGGTATCCCATTGGAGCATATGCGCTCCTTCCGTGCTCCGTACCTGGTGGGTTGTCCACCCATTGTTTTTAAGCAGGGCAGTCTTGGCGGGCCAAGGGGTTGGCGTGGTGTCTGGTGCTGGATGAGCCCCCCCCCCCGCCCCCCCGCCCCCAGTTCACCACACCCACCACCCGTCCCTGTGTGCTTGAGTATACATGCTGCAGTTGCACAACCCCGGGGTTCGACAGGTGCTTTCAGACCTGGGCATGACGGTGGACTCGAGCATTGTGGAGAGCTGGCCCTCGAGCAGCAGCCCATCGTCTGCCAGGCGGCTGTGGCCCTATTCCATGGCCACCGGCATACCACAACCCTGCCAGGTGAGGGTCAGCCGCGCAGCCGCTGCCCGAATCTGCTGCTTCTTCGTGCCTGATCATCTTCGTGCCACTTTCTGATGGATCAAAGGAACTGCCTGTGCATGCATGCCCCGATATGAGTGCAGTGGATGGCGCCCTCCACCTGTGATTCTAACGAGCGATATGCTGACCTGATGGAGGTTCCACTCATTCAATTTATCAGCCCCACTGGAGTCGCACTGTCCACCATGGTGTGGCGCAAATGCTGCTGGCTTCCCCTTGCAGCTGTTGGACCGCCACCAATCGAACGTGCTGTGTGCCGTCGTGTTGCTGCACCTGTAGGACCCCACAGCCACCTCGGGCGATGCGCTGCTGACCCAGATGCTGGAGCAGTTCAACTACTCCTACCAGAACAACCGCTCCCCAATTGGGATTTACCTGCACACCCCATGGCATGTGTTGGCTGTGATGTTGCATGATGTAGCTTTTTGGCTGTTGAAAGTTTGGTCTGCTTTGCTGCACTACTGATACCTTTGCTCTTGTGCTTGCAGGTTCGCTGCCAAATCGTTCCACAGCCAGGCACTGTCTAGCTTCGTTGCCGAAGTTTCCCAGAGGGGGGATGTCTGGTTTGTGACAATGCAGCAGCTGCGCGCCTGGATGGCGGCGCCCGTGCCAGCCAGCCAAATGGAGAGCTGGTTCAGGTGCAACCCAGTGGACTACTCTGCCGAGGGTGCGCGAGTGCAGGGCATGTCGGCAGGTGCCGTGGGGCACATCAATCCCGGGTATCACATGCTGAGCATCTTACTGCCATTCCAAGCTTGCAGAGCGGCCATCGTGCACCTCTGTGGTGGTGCAGCCTGGCCAGTCGTTGTTTGATATCTGTATTGACAGCGAAGTTGAGCTGCTGGATTTGTTGGCCGCCAACCCTGCTCTCTCACACAGCTCCTCCATCTATGTCGGCCAACGCCTCAGGCTGCCCCCCTATCCCGAATCATGCCCAGATGTGCTGGCAGGGCAGCCACTGTGCCGCAAACACACCGCTGTGGTGAGCTTGCAGCCGGCGTGTCTGTGGAGGCCCCGATGGCATGTGGCTTATCACCTCCCTGATGATGATCTGCAGGCTGGTGACAGCGTTTACCAAGTAGCGCTTAAGGTAAAGGTAAAGGTAAAGGTGGGGAAGAGCCTCCACAGGCTTAACTTCCCGGTTTTAACGTCTAGCTTTAGACCATTATTTGATCTGCCCGACGCGCCAAGTGCAGTACCCCCCACTAGTAGTGAATGGGTCCCGGGGAGGCCTGTGCCGAAGCCTTGGCGATTCTAATAGGCGTTCCCGAAGGAATTGGCTTGGATTGGCGCTGAGCCGGTCAGCTATGCCGCGTTTGTCCTCACAAAGTGTCGACATGGGAGGAATCGAACCTGTGCCCTCTCGGAGGGTTTAGACACTAGCTCCAGCGCCTTCAAAGAAGGCCTTTCTTAGCCGCGGCCCAAAAACTACATACAATCTCACCATCGCTGACCTGTTGACCACCAACGCCAACCTCAGCGCTACCTCCGGCTTGAGCATCGGCCAGGTGAGCGCCAGCTGCCAGCACCTTGCCCATCTGCATTGGCTGTCCTGGGCTGCGAGGTACAGCGGCTGCACCGCCCCCCGCCTGCAGGTGCTGCTGCTGCCTCCCTATCCGGCGCAATGCATTACAGGCAATCTTTCAGCTTCGCCCTCCGTGGCTCCCTCTCCAAGCACCACCATGCCTGAACCACCGGCATGTGGGGATCAGAGTGTAGAGCTGGATCTGACCTTGACGGGTGCGGTAGTATTGCTGCTGCCACTGCAGGATACTCCATATACCTGCATGTCCACATCCTGCTGTTGCCTCTGCCCCCAATTGCAGGCTTCGAAAGCGCAAGCTTTGCGGCCAGCAACATTGTTGCCTTCAAGGCTGGTCTTTCTGCTCTAGTGAGAGAGTTGGCTTCCTGCATCACCATCACTCGTACTGTCAATGTTTCAACCACTGCTACCGGCCGGCGGCGCCTTTTGAGCCAGGGACAAAGGCAAGTGCATGCAGGCGGAAAGGCTGTCAACTTCGGCGTCATGAAGGTAGAGAGGTGCTGTATCTGGCGATCTGCCCTCCCTGCAGGTCTCTGCTGTCGGACTCGCAGTTGCTGGTGTTGGTTAAGATCCTAACCGCCAATGCCTCCCGCACCGCCTCATACCTCGCTGGCGCACAGCAGCTGGGCAGCGTCGAGGTCATGCTCGGACTTTTGGGAGCCAAGCTGGACAGGGTCGCCTACAATCTGCTCAGCGCTGACGTGCGCTCTGCCTGGGGGGTGCTTGGTGGCGCCGTCGTTGTCCTTTCGCCCGGCAAGCGCTCGCTGTCTGGCATGCTGGTGCAGGGAACGCCCATCGTGACTTCCCCCCTGGCGTCTCCACCCTCACAAGACACCACTGTACCACAGTCCCCTGCTGCCTCGCCTGTCCAGTCCCCTGCTCAGACGCCAACCAATGTCGATGCTCTCGCTGCCGAGTCCAATAGTTCAAGCAGCATGGGCGCCATTCTGGGTAAGGCACGGACGCGCCAACGACCTTGTGAGCATTCGCTCAAGCAACATTTGCCTTTTAGTGGGTGGATGCAGGCGGAGCCATCGGGGGCGGCTTGGGTGCGCTGCTGATCATCGCTGCGGTGGTATTTTTTGTCCGGCACAAGCGCCGCCTAAACTTGGGCGACGGGAACACAGGCAGCCTGCGGTCCACGTATGCTAACCCGGCCTTTGTGGCAGGTGTGTGTGTGTGTGCCCGGTGGTGGCCACAGCACACGTTACAAGTGGTAATGCCTCCCTGCCGCCTCCGCAGGTGCAACCGCCACCCTGACCACTGATGCCGGTGGGGCGGGCAAGGGCAACGTGCTGCTGACCGAGATCATTGAATCCACCGGCACGCCGCGCAGTGCCCGCCGCCGCGTCAGCACTCCTTTCAACTGATATCTGCTTCTGTGACACCCCCCCCCCACACACACACACCACCACTGCCCCCGCTCTTACCATTGGCATTGAGCTACTTGATGAATCGATCCTGCGCCAATTGCGCTAAGTCAATGAACTTGAGCTGAGAATGTTGGCTATTTGTTTATGTGTGTGTATGAATGCTAGGGGCCTCGATTGGTGGGCCTTTGAAACAAAAACACAGCGAGAAGAAAGAACCAAAGGAGCATGCCACCAGGACTGGCAGCGTACCCCGCCTTGTTGTCACGCCATGTCATCAGGTGAGGGAGAGTTGGGCCGCGTGCTGCTGTCGCTGCCCTTGACCGAACCCTGTGCCTGCCGCGATGCTGATCTGACATCCTGCGAACGGTGGAACTGCGTGCCGCCATGCCCGCTGCCGCTGCCTTGGCGCACAAGGCCCAACGAATGTGCGTGACCTGAGGCTGGGCGCATGACAAAGGTCTGCGCCAGTGCCGAGGCGGTGCGGAACAGCTCTCGCACCGATGGCTCGCGCCGCTCCATCACCGCTTCCACTCGCTGCAGCGGAGGTTAGGCCAGGCACTGTGGGTGGGGCAGACCGGCAGCGGACAACTACCAACAAAAACCGGATGCCACCAGTGTCGCACTTCCAGCTACAGCCAGCAAGCCAGACTAGCAAAGCGCTGCTGCCACTCCCGCCACCTGGCCCAAACCACACCTTTTGCGTCTCCAGCACGCGGTCGCTCAAAAGCACCATGTCTGCCTTGGTCTTGCGGTCGTCATGCACCGCGGCCGTGAGCAGGCGGATGGCATCCAGGTACTCAGCAAGCAGCTCGTAGGCAGACGGCAGCGGTACCGTGCCCTCCTGCAGGAGGATTGGGGTGGTGGCTAAGAAGCAGGAGGCAGAGCTACACCAAGGAAGCTACACCAAGGGATGGCCGACAGGGTGGCTGAGTGGTGACGGCTAGCTTAGCAGAAGAATGCTGCTGTGCCTCCACCCCGGGCCAACCCAGCATGCATACCTGCTCGGCCAGCGCAGTCCCTGAGGCGGCCCTGCGATGGTGCACGCCTAGCTGCGGGCTGCCCGCTTCACTCTCTGGCTCCGCGTGCACACCCCCTAGCCGCGGGGAGGCCGGTGTTGTCCCGCGATGCGACCCTGAGGGGCCGTCGCCGCCCTCCTGCAACCAGACGCATCATCAGCACAAACCCTGAATCACTGCTCGTCCTGCATCTGCCAATCAGTATAGACAGACTGCTGCTGCTATGCTAGACACAGCGCACGGTCGCCCACTTACCTCTCCCAGTTCCAATTCCTCGCCCTCCGACTCCTCGCTGCCGCTGACACTACCCTCTGCCGGTGTCAGCAGGTGCGGCGCCGTGAGGTGTATTGCCAGCGTGCCCAGCGTGCCACAAATGATGATGGCAAAAATTCCAGTCACCTGCTCACACAAGAGCATGGCAATCAGGAAACAACGCTGCTGCCAACAAGCCAGTCAGCCTGCCTGCTAGCATCGTGTATTGCACGCATTGCTCACCAGGATTTCATCGCCCCACTGCTGCCATTGTGCATAGTCTGGGTCATCCACCTTGTACTTGTTGATCAGGGCTAGCGGGGCGCCTGCAGGGAACGTGTGCAACCAGGCCAGCAGTGAAAAGAGGGCAGGCAACGCGCGCCCCCTTTGCACATTCTGGGCCTGCAAGGCTAAACAACATATCAGGCTGCCCACGGTGCGCACCAACCCGCAGTCGACCGAGCCCACCCCACACTCTACCCACCCGACAGCGCCGCCTGCACGGTAGCCTTGGGCGTCCAGGCCAGCGCGTAGAACAGCTTCTCGCGCCACGTGTAGCCAAACCCGCTCATCACGGCATAGGTCATCAGCGTGCGCAGCATAACTCCGGTGCAGACGATGAGGATGGAGCGCGGGATGATGCTGCTGTCGAGGGTCTCGAAATAGATTGAGTTACCGATGGTCACAAACAGCATCGGCTCCCACACCCAGTTCCAAAACACTGCGACGATGCGTTCCACTGTAGGCAGGGGCGGGGGGAAGAAGAAGCAGATCAGAACGAGGAGCATATGCAGGGCAGGGCAAATACAAGGACGGAGGAGATGGCCAGAATGTAGGATGCGCTTGACATGGACTGCCGGCCAGACTCACGCTCCGGTGAAAAGGCAAAGGAGGTGCCCAAGGAGCCCCACTTGGGGAAGCCCTTCTCCCAGGCATTGGAGGCCACCAGCCCCACAAACAGAGCGCCCAGTGCACCACCTGCACAAGCCCGAAAAGGCAGCATGGGTAAAAAACAGCTGCAAGAGGCCGGGTGAAGGAGCAGCCGTTCAATGCCGCTGCACGATGCACTGACCCAGGCTTCTGTCGAACCCGTACTGCTGGCTTGCCCCACCCCTCCAGCTGCTTTGCACCCACAGTACCAGTTCCCCACTGCCACAGGCCCACGCACCGCTGAGCAGGCTCCAGTACTCGAGGAAATACATGAGCAGCAGCGCGCCACCGTACAGACCCACCAGCCGCTTCAGCCGGCTGTTAAACAGGCGGGTGCACCCGAGGAGCACGCCGCCAATCAGGCCGCCCAGGATGCCAAACACCACCTGCAGCGGGCCGCTGGCAATCTGCCAGGCCACATTTCCCTGGCCGGTGATGGCCACTGAGGAGAAGATGGAGTACCCGGTGATGGCGATAATGTCATCAAAGGATGCGGCGATGACCACGGTGGACGGGATGCCTGCAGAGAGTTGAGGGTAATGGGGTGCATCGGTGGTGGGTGAAGCACAAGCAGCGAGGCCACGGCACTCCCATTGGTGATCAGCAACCCCTCAACTCACCCTGATCACGCCCCAGCCCCGTCTTCTGCAGCTGGAACATGGCGGGCACCACCAGGCCAGGCCCCACCGCCTTGAGGATGAAGCCCATGGTGAAGGCCAGCAGCACCGGCATGTCAAAGACAGCCACCCCCAGGCCGCCATCGTAGAAGGCCTCGACCTGCACGGGCCATGGCAGCAGCGTGTGCTGATGTGTGAGACGGCATGTGGCGGCAGCACACAGCTTTCCTGCCAGCAGCAGTGCAGCCCATCAGTGGCTGCAGAGTCCTCGCTCACCAGGCCAGGCAGCAGAGCGAGGCGCATGGCGGGGTACTTGAAGCGCCGCATCGTGCCAAAGTCCAGTTCCAGGCCACAGCGCAGGAAGATGGTGGCTAGGGCGCCTGCCCGCATCTGCACCCCCCACTTGGCTGGAAAGGCGGTGGTCGCGGACCAGCCAGCATTCTTCATGACCATGCCGGCACACAGCATCCCCACCACACGGGGCAGGCGCAGCTGCCACGCGATCCCGGCGCCAATCTGGGAGGCCACCCATAGGAGGAGGGTGGCCCAGGCAGCATGCCCGGGCAAAAAGGCTGAGCCCATGGAGAAGAACAAGACTGCAGGGGGAGAAGTGGGGAGGAAGGCGGGGGGCCGCAGGCAGGGGGGAGGTCAGCATGACGGTGACAGGCGACTGTGGCAGGGCAACGCGATTGCCAGACGACGGGCAACAGGACCAGAATGCTAAACAGACAAGGCACAGGGCACACCTCCATACGTCACAGCCGCCAAGAGCACAAATGTGGCATCCACGCGCATCTCTGCAGCAGCACAACAGGTCGTGTTAGCCAGGCCGCCAGGCTGCAGCAGGTGACTGTCCAAAGCGGCTCTCTCATATTCTGGTGACATCCACCATGCATGCATGATGTGATCAGCTAGCTAAGGCTCCGCCACCAAAGGCCACGCCACGCACCTGCTGGCTGTGGGCGGAGCACCTTGTCCGCCAGCGCCGCGAGGCGGTGGCGCCACCCAGCGCCTGCAGCTGGCGCCCTGCCACGTGCGGGAACATTCCCCACCGAGCCGTCTGCAGCCGTCTGGGGCAGGTCCTCGACGGCAAAGGCCGCCACGGGGGGCCTGCCGCTGCCCACCTTCACGGGCAGCACCATGCGGGGAACGCGCACGCCACACCCGTCACCAGCAGCAAGCAGCGGAGCGGGGGCTTGGCGACGTGTGGCCCCGCCAACTCAGGGTGCACAGGTTTCTCCTGCTTGTTGTGCACCCTAGCGAGACCCAGTGCAGAGCTGTCTGATTGCCCACGCAGGAGTTTGCGCAACGTAAGCAGCTGCAACGAGAGCGCATGGAGAGGCATGCGGCCAGCGTGTGGCCTGCTGGCGGAGCAGGCCTAGCGAGACATCCCATTGTGCCTCCAGCCCAAGCCTTACGACACGCATCCAGCACCGATTTGCAGCCCGTGGCCAGCGCCGGAGCTGGGACACGGTCAACACTTGGCGCAGGGTGTTTGCTTGAGACTCGGGAAAGGGAGGAAGCCATCTGATCCCCCCGCTTGGGCTGCAGCTGCTTCTGAAATCCAGCAACGCGGCGTTGCAGGGTGACCCCTACCGCCGGTGCCGGATGGCAGGGCCTGCAAGCACTGCAGGAGCAGCCAGGCAGCTGTGGTGTTGACATTCGACATACAGCAGAGACTTTGAATCGCGGGCTGGAAAACCCCATGTTGCGCCGCGGGAGGCGGCGCTGCAGGCAATGGGTGGCGATTGTCGACACGGCGGTGTGGGCGGTGTGGGAAGCTGGCCGGGCCTGGCCCGAGGCTGCTATGGCCGCTGCCTCTGTGTGCACGACAGCTTGGAGTTTGCGCATGAAACGTCAAAGGCTGATGCGGTCTACTTTACATGCCTCACAGCTAAATCAGACCTGGGACCATTGCATGCATGGACGCTAGCAGGAAGGGAGGGGAGGGTCGCCCACACCCCGCCCGTCAAAGGAATGGAGGGAGAAGAGATGAACAAAGCTAGGCAGAGGAACGCGCTGCCCAGTGTAGAATGAAATGAGATGGGTCAAATGAGATCGGCACGGCCAAGTTTCTTTGGTGCGGGGCAACAAGTTCTGCGTGGACGCAAAGTGTCCGGGAGGAAAAATGCAGTTTGTAGTGTGCTAATCAAACTAATCAAAGGGGTTAGGTGGGAAGGAGGGTGGAGGCAATAGATAGGGCAGCGTTGCCCCTGAAAACCAGTTACCTCCTGCTTGGCAAATAAACAGAGTGGTGGAATCAATACCGTCATTGCCAAGGCAGTATTGGGCAGGATTTGTGGTGTCACGTGCATGAAAGGAAGAAAAAAAGTGCTGTGCATGACGCCATTGTCAAAACTGATTCGCTCTAAAAGCAAGCAGCAGCATGGGTGCGGCAAGGAGCAGAAGGCTGCTACTGCCTCCTTACTGGCTGCGCGTGCGCTTTACGGGCGGCACCGCCACCCCATCTGCCAGCAGCGCCGCCGGCACCAGCGGTGAGTGCAGGCGGCTGGACTCCTTTTGCGAATCTGCCCGCGGCTGCAGGTACTGCGAGGCGCCGCCAGCTCGCTCTGGCGCCTCCTCCTCCATGTGCATGGCTGCACCGTCCGTCTCTTCAGCGGTAGCAGGAGCCACGTGGCGCAACACATGGTCATTGGCAGCTGCCCCATCGTTTGCGCCACTCCCCTCGCCGCTGCTGCCATCCGCGTCGGGGGCATCCTCCGCACGACGGATGTGCCCGTTGGGGGCAAGCTCATCTGCGCCGCTGCCATTGTCTGCATAAAGCGCATGGGCAGCGGTCATTGTCTGTGCCGCAATATGGGCATGGTGGCAAAGCGAACGGTGCCAGGTCGTTGTGTGCTCTTGCCACACCTGAACCCTCGTTGCTCCCGCCGCTGCTGCCACCCTTCGTCCGTGCACCTTCATCATCGCCACTACTCCCACCGCCATTGCGGACGTGGTTGTGGTGATGATGATGGCGGCTGCACATAAGGACGTGAGGGCAGGAGGCGGCAAATGAGCGTGGCGCCCAGGAGATGGGTGGAAAGTTCATTATGCCAACTGCATTGAAATCAGTGCTGCATCTAACCTGTGATGGTGGTGGTGGGTGTGGCGTCGCCGTGCATGCGTCACACTGGCATAGGCGGCGCCAGTCTGCGATTGGGCACGGGTGGGCGGCCAGCAACAATTACTGGTCCAGTGCTACTTCCTCTATTCGACAACCATGAGGAAAGTTGCTTCTCGCTCACCTGCCCACTTTGTCCACTGCTGCCGTTCGCAGCTGGCACGGAAGCGCCCGTGCCGGCTACCGCTACACTATGACCCTGCCCGCTTGATTTGTTGCTGTTCTCTGACATCTCAGCCTGCGGACACATTGGAGATGGGACGGCAGGCAGCCAAATGAGGGAAAGCGTGTGCAGGGGCTCCAAACGATGCTTGCACTGCAAGCAGTCCAGTCCACACCTGCAACTCTCTCTGCTGGCTGGCGGCGGGTCCGGTAGCGGCGGTGCCAAAGGTGGTACCAGCGGTGGCGACTGCGGAGCAGCTGGCAAGTCCAGCGGCGGGCATTGCACCGTAGCTGCTCAAGTTGAAGCGAGGATCCAGGAATACTTTTTGGCCGGTGGTCAAGTCCTGCATTGAGCATCCGCGGAGAGAAGCTATGACGAGCAGGTGAACGGGCATGAGGCATGGGGCCGAAGGTATCAAACAGCAGGAATAGAGCGCTGGAGTGTGGATGTTCGTAAAGGTGCACTTTCAACGGCTGTGTAAGAGGCGCACAGGCTGCCAAGCGCCCACCTGCACCATGTAGCGGGCTGCCGCTGTGTTGCCCAGCATTGCCGGCGGGACACCAGGCCAGGGTGGGGCGTGGCTGCCGGGTGGCGGCCCCAGCGCTGCAGCTGCCGCAGGGAGGACGCCAGGCACCTCTGGTGGCAGCCCCACGCCTGGGGTTGCATGTGGCGGCAGGAGGTGCTGCATGTGGGCTGCTGCTGGTATAGCAGCAGCAGCTGGCCAGCTGCCAGGCATGGGTGCCATGGTGGGTGGCACAACGTAGCCAGGGGGCAGCATCATGCCGCCTGGGATGGGCGGCAGCACGGGGGGCATGAAGCCTGTGGCAGCCGCCGCCGCCTGCGGCAGCATGCCCATGCCAGGTGGGCATGCTGGGAAGGTGGGCATGCTGGCAAAGCTGGAGGTGACGGCGGCCGTGCTCAGCTGGCCGGTGCCCAGGGTGGCGCTGGCAGTGCCCAGTGTGCCCCCGCTGCTGCTGCTGGTGCCATTGCCAGATAGCTGACACTGGAACTTGCGCATGTCCTGCTCAAACTCCGCCCTGCACACCAGCTGCACCAGGCAGTAGCGGTCGCCAAAGGCCTCCCCAAATGGCTGACGGTCTTTTTCCTGCAAGGTACACCACAGGGGAGGCGGCACGTTTGATTAGGGCCTGCCAACAGGGGCCTCAGCTGCTGCCTGCGCCTGAGCTACGTCGGCTGCAGACACAACCAGCCCACAGCACACTCACAAGCGCGCGAGTCGCCTCCTCCGCCGTCTCAAACACCACCAAGGCAATTTTCGAATGGCGGTTCTCGCTGAAGGGCTGCACATGGACGCCGCCCAGCTTGATGCGATAGCCCTGCAAGGCAAGCAGCCGCAGGTTGGGGGCCAGCCTGGGAGGAGTTCGCTGTGCCAGCTAGTCACTTCAGTCTGCGAGTTGAAGGGAAAGCGGCACGCCAACCCTCACGTCAAGGAAGGCCATCACGTCGCCAGTGGTGGCCTTTGTGGGTAGGCCCTTGAGTCGCACGATGCCATCTCTGCCCTGCTCTGCCGCCACCACAGCGTCCCACTCGCCCTTGGTGGCCTTCTGCAGCATTAGGAAGGGAGGCGCGGTGGGGTAAGCCCCTGATCAGCTGCCGCTGCAAGCAGCTGGAGGCCTGTTGCGACTGCCGGCAGCTGCTAGCCACCTCTCACCTGCATGCCGAGCGAGAACTGGCCCGCGGCCATGGTGATCGTGGTGCCATGCCGCTGGGACACCGCCTGGGTGGCGTGCTCCCGAACCTCAAACTCCACAAACGCCTGCAGGGCAGCGGTGTGCGTCAGGAACCGGCCTCGCGCCACCCCCCCACCTGCCAGTGCATGGGCAGCTTTGGCCCCGTCTGCCTCCCACCCACACCAGTGGCACGCACCTCCAGACGCTTCTCATGGTCCACAGATCTTATGTAGGTGCCTGTCACCTTTGCCTGCCAGCCCCAGAAGAGCTGCAGCACCTCGGGCGGCGTAATGCCGTGCGGCAGGCCGGTCACCTTCACCACCGACTCCACCTTCTGGTTGGTGCGCCGCGATCGGCTGGCCTGCAGCAAAGGTATTTCAACCAACGGCTAAGCAAATCAACGTCATGGTGGCGTCCGCCCGCTTTGGCGCAGGGTGCCACAGCAATGCGCACTGCGCCCGCTTGCTACAAGCGCACCTTGGCAGCCACGGCGGCGCCCAGGGTGGGCAGGTTACCGGGGACCATGTCTTCAGCGATCGCCACCCGTACATACCGCTCGCCAAATTTGGGGGAGAAGAAGTTTTTATCATTTTCACAGGCTCGCTGCGCCTCTTCCATGTTGCTGAACGCCACGAAGGCCTGCGATTGAAAAGGGCCGATGTTGGGTGGCGCAAGGCGGCGGCGGCGGGAGCTCTTGCGCTCTCTTGCTAGCACGCCCGGGGTGTCACGTGGCCGGCGCCACACACCACCCACAGCCTCTCTAGCACCACAAGTCGGCCTGCTAACCCAAGGGCCCCCTCACCTCGGCGTGGCTGCGGCCTCCCCCAGGCTTCACAAGGTGAATTTGTTCCTGCTGCAGCGGCCCACAGCCCTCCAGGAAGGCCAGCACATCCTCCTTGCTGGCTTTAGTGGGCAGGCCGCGCAGAACCACAATCTTTGAGTCATCGCCTGGGGTCATCGTGCCCTGGTGCCGGTGGTGAGGGCATTGGTGTTTCACACAATGTTAGGGAAAGCTGACTGTCGGGGAAGCCGATATGATCATTGGCCTCCATTCGACCAGCGCGGGCGCCCAATATCAGATACACATCTCTGAACCCCACGAACCGGTTGCCCAGACTGCGGAAACTGGGCACTGTCATGCAGTGCGGAACTGGGCAGTCATCTGCTTACAATGAGCAGTCGTCCGCCTTCTGCCCGCTGCCTGCCCCTGGCCCCGCAAGGCGGCCAGTTGGCCACCGCGGTGAACTGACAGCAGCTCCCACAGGGTTGTCTACAGACCTACAGTTACACTGACAACTGTACAAGCTGGCACACGGGTGAACGCATGCTCACACTGCGGACCGGGTCCTCCTCTGCCGCCCCCACCAGCAGCCGCCTCAACTGTATGGCGGTCCGCGGCCGCGCTTGAACTCGTCCCGTCGCCTCAGCAGGTCGTCGAATTCACGCAGCTCCGCCTCGCGCTCCTTCTTCTCCCTGAAATTGCATGGTAATTAGCGGCGCACACGTCTGCACGAGCCCGCCAGTCAGCCTGTCGACCACGGCCAGCCGCCACCACCTCACAACGGGCCTCCCTTCACACTCACTTAAACATCTCATCCCGCCAGTCGTCGTCGATGGTGCGCGCCTCCACGTCGATGGTGCCGTCCTCCGCCTCGCTGCCGCCGCGGTAAAAGAGCTGTTGAGCCAAAGAAGCGCCCAGCCACAAGCCGCCGCCGACGAGCACCAGCTGGATCAACGGCAGCAACAGCGCGCCTGCAGCAGCGGTCGCAAATACGCCTGCAATGCAAGCAGGGTGGACGTGGTGAGACAAGGGAGGGGGCGCAATGGAGGGTTGACGAGAATTTTTTGCCAAGGTAGGACTCAAGTGTGGCTCGCCACACACACACACACACACCACACACACACACGCTAGCAGGTAGCTGCGGGATCCTACCTGCTGCCAGGCCGCCAGCCATGAGCGCGGGCATCCCGAACACAGCCACAGCGAGGGGCACCACCACCCAAGAAAGAGACAGCGCCGCAGCGCCAGCAGCTATCATGATTCCAACACCAGTTGCTGCAAATATCAGGCCGCCCAGGACTGGTGCCACCAACGAGCCCACCACCAGCAAGCCCAGCGCGGGGAGGGCATACTGCTGCACCAGCCTGTCAATCGGCACGGGTTCCTGGCGGCGGGGGCCGCCACTGCCACCCCTGCCACTGCTGCGGCGTGCGTAGACCTGCAGCCGCCTGCAGCGGTGCGACGGCAGCGGCTGCTCCTGTGGCACCGTCTGCAGCCGCCTGCAGCGGTGCGGCGGCAGCGGCTGCGCCTGTGGCCGAGGCGCCAGCGCTGGGGCCAGGCTGCGGGGCCTGCTATTCACCGCAACGTGTTGGCGGCCACCAGCGCAGGGAAGTGCGTGGATGGCCATGTGGCGTGTGTGAAGGAGCTGTGTGGACAGTGGCAGTTCTATACACGGGGCGAATATGATTGCAACAGTGTGTCACGCACTCGTGGGCCCTACGGGCAGCATGCTGTACTGCGCCTGTCGAGGCGGTACTGCGCCATCATCTTCGCAGCACGTCGCACTCCATGTCTATGCCTCAAAACTGTTCACCGCACGTCAGCACGCCGGGCGCTGCGGACCGTCGCCACAGCCTACGCTGAGCGGTTGGCAACAGCCAGCAGCATGTTTGCCCTCCGGCGCGGGCTGCAGCAGTGTGCCCGGAGCCTGCTTCCCATGGAGGCCCTCGCCTGCGGCAGCCTGCAGCAGTCTGCCGCGGTGACCAGCGGGCCGGCTGGAGCCGTGTACAACGTGGGCAAGGCGAGTCTAGGCCTCTCAAGTGGCTTGCATCAGGCCAAGGGCGGAGGCAGTTGGAACCGCCTCTGACCACCCCCCGCTACCCTTCCGCCACCGGTGCCACTCAAATTGCAGCTCGTTGGTCGGTTGTGCCCTCAGTCGTGCACCTGCACCCGCTGCTGCCTCTCCAGGCCACCAACATCAAGTTCCATGATGGCATGGTGCCGCGGGAGACCAAGGAGGAACTGCTGGGGCAGAAGGGCGTGGTGCTCTGGTTCACTGGTGCGTGTCATGGCCTAGACCACCAGCAACCCCGCGTTTGTGATGTCCACTCACGGAGTATGCGGCAAGCAAACAGCACAGGGCAGCCAGCCCGTAAACCCAATGCCACCCCCACCGCAGGCCTGAGCGGCAGCGGCAAGAGCACGGTGGCGTGCACCCTGGAGCACGCGCTGGCCGCGCGTGGCAGGATGACGGTGCTGCTTGATGGCGACAACGTCCGCCACGGGCTGAACAAGAACCTGGGCTTCAGGTGCCGCTTGCCGACAGTTGCCTGGTCCTGGTGCTCTGCCGCTGCTACTGCTGGGAAGATGTGCAGTGCTGACGCCTGCCCCGACACTTTGAAGCTGGTGTGTGCGACTGCTCCGCCCTGCCGTCTGCAGTGCTCAGGACCGGGAGGAGAACATCCGGCGCATCGGTGAGGTGTCCAAGCTGTTTGCGGAGAGCGGTGTCATCACCCTGACCTCCTTCATCTCACCCTACCGCAAAGACAGGTGGGTGGAGTGCTTCGTCAGTGCAGGGACATGGGCTCTGTGCAGGAAGCCATGCTTGACTGCTCCTCTTGTAAGGCCCAGGCCCACACGCATGCTGCAGTTGTCAGCGCAGTGCAGCACTGCCCCTGACTGTCACCCCCTATGGCCATTTCGCATGCTTGCCTTTCACATACTTCACGGCACCCCATGCCCAAACTGCCCTGCAACTCCCTTGGCTGTGACATGCCGGAATGCTGCAGGGAAAGCGTGCGTGCTCGCATGGCAAATGGTGACTTTGTGGAGTGCTACATGCGCATTCCCATCGAGGTGCGGGCTGGTGGGCGCTAGGGCGGCAGCCCAGCAGGCTGTGGGAGGCAAGGTATTCGCTCTCAGCCTCAGTGTGCCCTGCTATCCTCCTTTCAATCATTCGCAGATGTGTGAGCAGCGTGACCCGAAGGGCCTTTACAAGGCGGCGCGGGCCGGCAAGATCAAGGGGTTCACTGGTGGGTGGTGCTGCTGCTGCTGCTGGCATTAAGATAGAGGTACACACATGACGGGCATTTGCCTGCATGGGTGGGCAGCGCTCTGAGCCAGTTCCTGCATACACAAGGCTCATCTGCGCCCTTTGCGTTCCCACGCCGTGCTGCAGGCATCGACGACCCCTGTGAGCAGAGCAGCAGTGGTGCTGGGAATGGGGCCGACGTTTAAACAGTCCTTCGCTGCTACAATGCCGGAGGTTTGGCTCAAATAAATCTGCCTGCCCTGTGCTTGCAGATGAGGAGCCGCTGACGGCAGAGCTGGTGATCGATGCCAAGGACGAATCGGGCAACATGCAGAGTGCAGAGGACATGGCGGCCACAATCATAGCGTACCTGGAGCAGCGCGGCTACCTGTCGGCCCCAGCGGCACCCTCTGACTCAGAGGCTGCCACCGCCTGAGACAATTGATGTTAGCCCAGAGTGGGCGTTTTGACCAACTGACCGTGATCCGCCTATCTTTTTCCATCCTCTGTTTCTTTGTTGGTGGTGCTATGAGATGGATGCGTAGTCTGATGCCTACCACTTTACACCCATGTAAGTGTAACACATGCCGCGCACAAAGCAAGCAGGGGAAGAGAGAAAGGAGAGCGGTACATGGTGTTTGGGAGGCTGGGCATGCCCACCTGACCAGTGCTCAGTGTTGCACCGTCACGTTGCGGCCCTCGACGCTGACCACTGCCGCCCGCCCTGCACGTCCGCCCTTGGCCATCCCCTTGAGCTTCTTGCTCAGCTTGTGCTCGTCCTTGCCCTTGCCGCCAGGCCCCTTCTTCTCAGGCATCGCGAACTGGCTGCTGGGTGCCTTGACATAATCGAGCGAAGCAGCCTGCAGGGGAAGGATGGAATGGCAGAGCAGGAGGTGCCGGTCAGAAACCCACAAGCCAATAACCAGCCAGACACCAACTCCAGATCAATGACCAAGCGGGCCAGCTCACCTGCGGGATGGCAGCATGGTAGCGGAAGCCGGGTTCCCCAGACTTTGGCTGCCGCCGCCGCATTCCCTCGTCATCCTCGTTCTGCAGATCAACGTGGGGCGTGATGAAAGGAGTGTCGAACCAGGCTGGAGGATGGGGGGTTGCGTACTCTGCTTAGCCGCAACCACATGAGCACCAAAAATTGCCAGCCCGTCCCAGCAAGCAGGAACATCCACGCACCAGCTCCTCGCCGTATGCTGCTGCTTGCTGCGATGCCGTGCGCGCCTGCCGCTGTTGCCGTGCTGTGAGGATGCGTTCTTGCTCCTGCAGGTGTTTGCACAAGTCCGATCAGCTAAGAGACTGTTTGCTGCCCTGGCACATCCTGCCCATGTCCTGGCTAGTGCCGTCACACTATGCTGCCCCATTCTGCCTGGCTCTGCACACCTCTGCATCCAGGTCACGCACGCGGCTGGGTGCCAAGATCGGCCGGCTCCACCGCTCCACCAGCTCTTTGGCCAGCCGCTGGTTGGTGGGCGTCTCGTCTGCAGAGCTCAAAATCAATAGAGCGGCGGAGCAGGGCACAGCAGGACAAGAAGGAAGCATTTCAAATACGGGAGCCGCTGCTGTGGCACGTGCCACAGGACAGTGCCATTCACCACCCTGTCCCGCTGTGCAAGTCTCATCCACACACATGCCCAACCCTTTACCCACCGGGCAGCTTGAAGAGGAACATGACGACGCGGCCCAGCCCGCTGCGTTTGAGCTGCTCCTTGCGATCCTCCAGGCTGCAATCCACAGGCAGCTGGTGCAGCAGGCGTAATACTGTCTCGCGGACCTTGGCGTTGGGCAGAGCGCCGTCGGCCATAGGCTCAATCCAGGCCTTGAGCACTGCAAGTGGTGGCAGGTGAGGGTGAGCCGGTGGGAGGCTGCTGGCAGACAACCAAGAGGTGCAGACATCCAAGAGAGGGCAAGAGAGGGCTCAAACAACCACTCCCCCATCTTGGGACTGCAAAGCCTGGTGGTGGCATACCAGCATGGCACGCACCGCCCAGCAGCCCTGCGTCCAACAGCTCGTTGTGCAGCCGCTTGGTGGACAGCACGTCTTCCACCTTGGACAGCAAGCGCAGCTTGAACACCGCGGGGCGTCCTACAGCCAGGCGCCCGGTCCGAGGACCACAAAGGGCAGATCACCGCGTGGCACCACAAGCCATCTACATTGAAATGGTGCTTCGCCATGCAGAATAGGCCAGCACCGCAAGGGAGCCTGCACAGTGCCAACGGCCCCCAGAGCAAGCCCTAGTGCGGCCCACCCACCGTTCTCATACTCCTTCTGGTCCTCCTCTGCCGCCACCTCCATCGTGCTGAGCATGTTCTCCACCAATGCTTTGGCCTCAATATCACTCATCCCCTCCTTCTTCTTCTTTTTGCTGCAGTCAGGAAGGAAGGGAACTACAATTGGTCAATTTGCAGGCGAGGGCTCTGCTGAGCACGTGAGCAGCACCATTGCAGTATGTGTGCCTGCCAGTGCGCAACTCACTTGAACATGGCCTCCAGCTCGTCCTCGCCCTCACCCGCCTCCTCCGCCTCCGCGTAATTGGCCAGCTGCAGGTGGAGGAAATGTTAAAAGCGCAGGTACAGTTGCGACGCTTGAAGTCAAGCAGCTAGCTGGAGGCAGAATTCTCATACATAGTACACTGACTTTCCCCAGCTCCTTCGCAAAGGCTGGCAGGGCTGGGAAAGGCCGCTGCAAAACTCATTCCACCCCGCGCCTGCTCTTCATCATCTCCAAAGTCGATGCGCTCCTCAGGGTCCAGACCATCATCATCAATGAAGTCGCGGTCGGCATCAGTGACCACCCTCAGTGCCTCGTCGCTTTCATCCACCTCGGGCGCCACTGGGGGGCGGTCTGATGCCGACACACTGGATGGCTTGCGTCGGCGCGAGGTTCCTGCAGGTGGGCCATGGGCGGTCAAGCAAATGTGCGCAAGGCAGGCTTCCAGGCATACTATGCTCTGTACGTGCCTGCCACGCAACTGCAGGCTCAGCACACAGGCTGGCAGCCACCGCAGCACGATGTGCCAATAGCAGGGGGCTTGCCTGCACCCCCGCCGGCAGCCTCGTAGACTTCGCTGGCCTCGCCCGCCCCGGCCCCGTCTGCCTGCTCTTCCTCATCGTCCCCAAAATCCACCAGTGCTGCCTTCTTCTGCTTCTTCGGCTTGCGCTGCTGCGACTCCTCCTGCACAGGTGGCGGCGGCGGTGCTTGATTGGGCGGCTGGCAGAAGCGGCCTCTGGGCGTCTCCCCTTGCAGGAGGACCACTGGGGTGCCCTCACCTCCCTCTCCTTGCGCTTGGCCTCCGCCAGGGCTGCCAGCCTCGCTTTTAGGTCGACTTTGGCGGCGGGGGCGGCCACTGGCTGCGGCTCATCGCCATCCGAGCCGAAGAGATCGTCTACATTGCTCATCCCTCCCGATTCGCGGGGCCGCAGGGGACGGGCGCGCCACGGTAAAAGTGGGGTTGTCGGGATCTTTGGCTTGATCAACAGAAGGGGGCAACTAATTTGTCTGCTTGTGCGCACTCATTTGGGCCGCTAAATTGGCCGACACGCTGGCAGTAGTGCCCACGACGCGGCGGTGTGTATTCTCACAGCCGCAGCGCCACCAGATTCTTTGTTGTTGATCACAGTGTGCACGGCCGTGCCTCCAGAGCTCGTGTACCCAGAACGTCCCAGTGCCTGCCTCCTCAGGCACCCGTGAGGCTAGCGGCGCCTTGCAGGCCACATCAGCTGAGCCTGAAGCGGTGGAAGCAGGCCCCGCAGTCCGGGCCGCCGCCCAGCAGCGCCGCCGCCAAGTCCCTGCTGCCGGTGGTGCCGCCATAGCTCCGATTCGCCACAGCTTCGAGCGGCCCTACAGATGAGCAAGAACGTGAAGGGGGTCAACAACGTCGACTTCCGCAGGAAGTGGGACAAGGAGGATTTTGCAGAGAAGGCCAAGGAGCGGGAGGAGAAGGTGCTGGCGGGAGCCGTGTGGGCAGCCCTTGCTCTGCCGGAGCCTGGAGCGCTGCCCTCCGCCCGGAGCCGCCTGAGCGTGCCTGCCTGGGTGTAACTGCCGCTGCCGCCGCCTCCGTGGAACCCTGCAGGAGAAGAAGAATGAGGATGAGGCGCTGGAGGCCAAGAAGCGCAAGCGTCTGGAGCGCGACCCGCTCCACCAGGGCCTGATCGTGGCCCGCGCCAACCTCAAGGCCCGCGACTACCAAATTGACCTCGCCTCTAAGCTCAACAAGTCTCAGGTGGGCATGGGGCCTGCCGCACATTGGCACCGCCGCCTGGGTTCATGCTTGCTTTGCCTGCAAGTCGGAGCACCAGCGGGCTTGCTCTGCTGCAAGCCCCACCCCCTGCTTTAATCTCGCCAGCATGTGAGGTGCTGCTTGCTCCCTTGTTTCATTCTCTTGCAGGTCGTGTCAGTCACCATGCCGCTAAGCCAGCAAGCGGGCTACTACTGCAATGTGTGCGACTGTATCCTGCGCGACAGCCAGAGCTACCTGGACCACATCAATGGTGAGGCTGCGCCGATTCGTTGCAGTGTGTACAGCGGCAGTCGTGAAGCACCTGGACACAAAGAGCGCAGCCCTGCTTCTTACTGCCGCTGTCGTGCCTTTTCCGACCCTCCTGCCCTGCTGCTGTGCCCCTGACAGCTCCGTCCATCCTCGCTCCCTGCCTGTCTGCCCTGCAGGCAAGTGGCACAACCGTGCACTGGGGATGAGCATGCGAGTAGAGAAGTCGACGGCGGAGCAGGTGCGGCAGCGATTGGAGGAGGCCAAGAAGAGGAAGGAGGGCGTCGGCAGCAGCGCGGCAGACTTCGCGCCAGACGGTGCGGATGGTGGTGGAGGAAAGCTTGCCTTCTATGCTGGCATGCCACGCTCGATGCACCGCAGGAGATGCGGTTTTGGGCTGTAACAGTGGTGGATGCGGTTGGGCTGTACTGCCATGCACAGCTGGGCTTACTACGTTTTGACTGGTGGCCTTGCCTGCAGGCTTTGAGCAGCTGGCGGCGGCGCAACAGCAAAAGGAGGAGGAGAAGCGGTCGGGCAAGCGGCGAAAAGCAGAGTCGGAGTCGGAGTCGGAGGATGAGGGCATGGACCCTGAAACAATGGCGGCAATGGGCTTCGGGGGGTTTGGCACCAGCAAAAAGTAGGCGGCCTCGCTGGCGCTGCTACTTTGTAAATCATCAGCAGATCCTTTAGGGGCTGCGGCTTGATGAACTCCATGGACAAACACAGGCACCAGTTCGGCACCAGCACAGGCGCATTGAGAGCACTGGTGCTGGTCTAAACTGCCCTCGTTGACAGGCCTTGCTGAACAGGCCTTGCTGACAGGCAGTGGGCGGGCTGTGGCTGCCCTCTTTTGGCCCTCGGCAGCACCGAATTGCAGTGGTCACCCCCAACCATGTAGCCTCCGCAACTGCACGAAGGTGTGCAGCATTGGTGCCAAGAGATGACACACATGCAAAACCTGCAAACCACAGTCGACAGGTAGGGTCGAGGGGCACTGAACAACATATTAAGGGTGCCAGCAAAGGGGAGGGGAGTCCGCTATCCTTCAGTTTAAAGAACTATTTGCAACATCAAGTGAGAATGTGTTTTAGAAGGTCAATGAGCACGAGAAAGACAGATTCAATTGCAAAGAAGGCAGGGCAAAATTGGGTGTCCATTAAGCCACACGTATGTACCGATGCGCCCGCCACAGTCAGTCGCTTTCTTTGCCAGCTGGCAGCAGGCTGGCCCCCACTCCGAGGCCCAGGATGCTTGCCACCACACCCAGCGACACATCGGTGGGCACGTCAAGGCCCGCAAACTGGGCCAAAATCTTGCCACCCACAAACCCGAGCACCACCGCCACTGCAGACGGCAAGCAGATGGCAAGGCAGTCAGCAGCAGATCAGCCAAACACCCCTGCGCACAGCCCTGCCTGCCGCTGCTGTGTGCGCGCACCCACCCGCTTTGTCCAGAAAGCGCAGCTCCTTCATGAAGGTGGAGACAAAGGTGTAGAGACCTCGCAGTGACAGGATGGCAAAGAGATTGGAAGTGTACACGATGAAGGGGTCCAGCGTTACGCCCAAAACCTGCGGGACAGGAAAGGGAGGTCCCGGCGCGCAGCAGCGCAGTCTGAGCTGTGGGTGGGTGGGTGGGGATGGGCTGGGTGGGGATGGGAGTCTGGGTGGTTTGGGCTGGGTGGGTGGCCACCACCCCACTCACCCGCCACACCCCCACCGCCCCACACACGCACCCGGCCGGCCACCGGCCACCCCACCAAGCCAGCCACCTGGTCACCCCAACCCAGCGATCCCAACCACCCACCGCAAGGCGCATGGCCTTGCATGGGGTGCCAGCCAGCAGCAGCACCAATGCACACACACACACACTGCGATGCCCCGCGCCCGTTGCCCTCGCCAACTCACCGCGGGGATGGAGTCTACAGCAAACACAACATCGGACAGCTCCACCACCAGCAGCACAAGCAGCAGCGGCGTCGCCACGCGCACGCCGTTCTGCACACAGACAGCCACACCAGCCCAGCCCACTCAGCGCGACAGTTCTGCACTGAGGGCAAGGCCAGCGCTGAAGGCCGCTGCCAAGGTAATGTTGGTGCCGCACAGCCGCCACATAGCGTGCCCACGTTTGTGTGGCATCGCTTCACCTGCATGGTGAAAAACTTGTCGCCATCGTACGAATCGGTGAATGACATGAGAGACTTGCAGAACTGCACAATCTTGTTCTTGCTCAAGTCTTCCTCCTCCTCCTCATCGCCGCCCGCCCTGCACGGACAGCAGCGCGTAACGATCAAAATGGGCGGCGGCAAATCGCCAGGAGGATGACATTCGCCGTACTGCTGCAGCAAGGCAAAGGATCACCCTTCTGCCGGCAAACAGCGCCACAGGCCGCTCACGTCAGCAGCTTGGCGCTGGACAGCAGCAGGATGCCGGCGAACACCAGCAGCACCGGTTCAAACCGCTCAACTGTGGCAGGAAGCCCAGCCAATGAGAACGTCAGTTGGGTGGCAGGGCAGAGCAGTTGCAGGCGCAACGGGCAGCCCCCAGCATGCTGGGCATGGCCATCACTTCAATAGTGCACCTGCCGTGCAAAATTCACAGCACCGTCTCAGCTGCTCTTCCCCCCGCTGCCCACCTATGTCCACGCCCGCCACGATGAGCACAAGGCGCAGCACCGCTGCGGTGGCTATTCCGTACGTCAGCACCTTGCTCTGGTACTCGATGGGCGTCTTGAAGTAGTTGAAGACCAGGATGAACACAAACAGGTTATCCACTGCGAGAACGAGGGAGGTAGGGCATTTGCATCACCAGCCATACACTGAGCTCAGCCGTTGTCACTCATCGCACATCAGTGCCCCGCATGCCCATGCGCTCAGCCGCCTACCCAGGCTAGCAGACGCACCCGACAGGGACTGCTCCAGCAGGTATCCCGCGAAGTACTCGGCGCCCTTCTGCTCGCCCATCACTGCCCACACGCCTGCGCCAAAGGCCAGCGCCGCAATCACGGCTGAGGCGGCGCCTTCCGCACGCTCCTCCACCATTGGCTCCTCCACCTCCAACCGCTCAATCTGCCTGATGGCGGATTCTTCCTCGTCCCGGCTTCGCGAGGAGGGGCTGCTGGTGGGGGCTGGCGGGTCGTCGCGGCTGGCTAGCGTGTCGGGTCGTGCCCGTGCTGGGACTGGTCGCTGCTGCCGCCGCTGCCGCCGCTGCAGGTGGGGGGAGGGTGAAGGTGTGGGAGGTGAGTGATCATTCAACCGCAGAAGGTTCTCCACCCTACAGGCATGGGGCAGCCTGAGGACATTCCAACATCACACACAGTCGAGCACAAAATCGGCTGTCCTCTCGGCTCGCACCGGCAAGACACCGCTGGCGCCCAGCCCATCCATTCTCTTGGCACGCTGCAGCGGGTTGCAGCCGTGCCGCTGGAGCTGCAGGCAGTGCGCTGGCGCTGCCAGGTTGGCATGTTGCGCGCGGGCTGCTGCTGCTGAGCTGCGCGTGCTGGCTGGCGGCGCCGCCATGGCGCTGGCGGAGCCACACATTGTGGGGCTGCTGGGGCTGCTGGGGGTCCGGTCGGCTGCCTGCCGCCCCGCTGCGAGCTTCCCAGCCCCGAGGAGAGAGGTGGGGAGCTGGCTGGCTGCGGGTGGCCACACCCGCTCGACAGCAGCGCACTGACCTGCGCAAGCAGCACACGGGTGGGCAGCCTGGCAGCAGTGGGCAAGCAGGAGGTGGAGGGACGCAGCCAAAGCTGCAACGAGTGGTGAAGCCAATGGACCCCGTGCCAGAAGGCAGGGGGCGATAAACCTCGGCAGCACTTTCGCCCAATCAACACACCAATTCACGGTGCCACATTTACACGCAGCCAAACGAGAGAAGCAGCCCAAGCAGCCCAGGGAGGCGTGCGCAGCAGGGAGGGGATGGCCTCCCGTCAGGAGGGGGCTCCCCAGCCCCCACAGCAGCCCGGCGGTCGGGGGAAGACCGCGGGGGGGCGTGGCTCCGGCAGAGGGTGCGCCCACGCTGCTTGCATGCAAAAATGCGGGCCAGGCTGGCGGCCCCACCGGGTGGCTGACGGCCGAGCTCTGCCGCCTCTGCATGCAGGCCGCAGGCCCAGTTGAACAAGGGCAGGGGCCCCGAGTCACACCCCATCCCCGCTGCCAATGGTGGGTGCGCCGCCAGCCTTGGTGCCCGATCAAGGGCAGCGGGGGTGCAGCAGCGCTGAAAATGGGCACCAAGGTGCAGTTGGCGCCGCCCGGTCACAGGTGCTACTGCCGTGGCCGCCGCCTGCAGGCACGCCGTCGCCGCCCCCCGAGCCGATGGCGCCCAGCGGCATGTCCTGGGCGGCACGCGTGGCCAGTGCCAAGCCAGCACCAGTGGCCGCCAACGGCTCGGCGGCAGATGGCCCGGCCGCGCCAAGCGGTGCTGCCCCGCCGCCAGCTGCCCCGGCGGCACCCGCGGCCCCGCCCGCCGCCGTGCAGCCAGCCACTGCCGGAGTGAAGCTGCCGCCCGGAGTCGAGGGTACGCTCGCAGTGACGGCAGTCAATGCAGCAGCGTTCTGGCAGCTGTGACAGCTGAGGGTGGCGTTCCTCATTGCTGTAGCGCTGGGTGCCTCGTGGGGTGATGTGCTGCTCCTTTTCTGGCTTCCCCAAGTACAGGCCGGCAGGCCTCCATCAAGTTCGGCGACATCGATCCAACCGAGGTTGTCAAGGAGCAACAGCAGCAGCCGGCGCCGGTGCCAGTGGCGGCCAAGCCCCCCCCGCCCGTCCCTGCACCTCCTGCCCCTGCACCGCCAGCCGCGGCACCGCCGCCGCCGCAGCCCTTGGCGGCCCCCCTGCCCGTGATGCCAGCCTCAGGCGCACCCCCGACGCAGCGGCCCGGCGGGTACGCTGCGGCTGCGGCAGCTGGTGGGGGGTCAAAGCCAGATGCGGCGGCAGCCGTGCCAGTCATGATGCCGCCACAGGGTGTGCCACAGCAGATGCAGCAGCAGGCACCCCGGCAGCAGCATGGCGGGGGCCCACGTGGCGGCCAGGGGCGTGGCCCTACTGGCCAGCAGCAACCAGGCGTGGGCCTCAACCCCGCCATGGGAATGTACCCGCAGCAGGTGCGAGGCACATAGGGAAGAGGGTTGCAAGCTGTGAGGTTGCAGGCAGGGATATGTGTTTTGACTGCGCATTTCTGTGCGTTTCTGTTGCTCGTGGACAGGCATTCCGCATGCATGTGCGATCGTGCTGAATGGCAGCAAGCTCGCTGACGCAGCCCTTTGCTTCCCATTTGCTTGCTTTGGTGCAGTTTGGGATGCCTGGAGGCTTCAGCATGAACCCCGGCGCGGCCACGTTTACCGGGCCTGGCATGGGTGGAATGATGTATATGCCAGGCGGCACCAACTACTTTACGCCGCCAGGCTACTCGCAGGTGAGTCACAAAGCGGCGCGCAGGGCACCATGGGGACGGTGCATTGCTCGGCGCCCTTGCAGCGATCACTCTGCGGCAGCCATGCATGCAAGCGCCGTACCCATGCGGATGCCTTCTATGCACAACCCTGGGTGGCGCGCTCAACAGTGCGCTCGCCTCACACTGCAGGCGTGGCAGGGAGCGCAGTATGGGCAGTATGGCATGACCCCGTCCGCCATGCAGGCGGGTGCAGGCGGGCAGCAGGGCATGGCTACTTCGGGCGCCATGGCTGCTCCGCCGCAGTCGCAGCCCGCATCAGCGCCATACGCTACAGCTGCTGCGGGCACCCCCAAGCCCGTCCCGGTGGCCACGCCCCCTCGAGAGAAGAAAATTCTGCGGCTAGAGAACCCCGAAACACACGAGGTGATTGACCTGTCCAAGCCCATGGCCAGTGGCGAACAGGCGGGCGGTTCGACCAAGGCTGCTGACAAGAAAAAGGTAGCCGCACCAGCAGCCAAGTCAGTGGCAGTGGCAGAAGCCAAGAAGCCCGAGGCAGCGACTGGCGCGCCCCAAACTGCGGCCGAGGCGGTGAAGGGCACAGGCCCGTCCAAGGCGGCAGCGGAGGCGGCAGCAGCCGCAGCGCTCAAGCCCAAGGAGGCTGTAGCCCCTGCTGCAGCGGTCCCTGAGGCAGCAACCCCCACTGCAGCGGTCCCCGAGGCAGCAACCCCTGCTGCAGCTGGCAATTTGGCTGCTGCGCCAGTGGCGCCTACGACTGCCGGCCCAACTGCAGCGGCACCAGTGGCGGCTGCGGCAGCGGCGCCCAAGCCTGCGGCTGTGTGGGGCAGCGGCCAGAGCTTCAAGGAGAAGCTGATGGTGGACCCCGCTGAGAAGAAGCGGCAAGAAGAGGAGGCTGCCCGTAAGAAGGCTGCAGATGACGAGGTGGCCCGCAAGAAGTTAGCCGAGGAGGAGGCGGCGCGAAAACTTGCGGAGGATACCAAGCGCAAGGTAACACATTGCAGGGTTCGCTACGGCTGTTCGCATGGCTGCAGCGCAATGAAGCAGTGGCTTTGCTTCCTTGTGATAGCCAGGTACTGTCTGCTGTTGTTTGCATCTGCAACGGCTGTCCCTGGCATTTGTCAACCCATGACGCATTCGTGCTGCCTACTCCACTTTCTGTTAGCAGGCTGAGGAGGAAAAGAAGGCTGCCGAAGAGGCTGCAGCTGCCCGGAAGCAGGCCGAGGAGGCTGCAAAGAAGGCTGCTGAAGAGGCCAAGCGCAAGGTGCGGGATTGCATACTTGCCCCGGGCCTGACCAACGTGTGATATTGACGGGGGCCTGCCTGTTTTGGGGCGTGCTCTACTCGGCGGCATTTTGCAGACAGTGAGGATAGAATTGAGTTGCGCAATTCTATCTGTGTTTTGGACAGGCCGCATGAGTGGACTGACAACACACTTGTTCTGCAGGCCGAGGAGGAGGCAGCTTTGAAGAAGGCGGCTGAAATGGAGGCGGTTGCCAAGAAGAAGGCTGACGAGGAAGCAGCAGCAGCAGCAGCAGCAGCAGCAGCAGCCAAGGAGGTGGCCGCTAAGGAGGTAGCGGCCAAGCAGGCCGCTAAGGACGTGGCGATTAAGCAGGCTGCGGCCGAGGTGGCGGCAGCCCAAGAGGCAGCGGCCCTGGAGGCAGCTGCTGCGGAGGAGGCCGCCTCTGCCCAGAAGAAGGCTGATGAGGAGGCGGCGGCCGAGGAGAATGCGGAGCAGCAGCTGCAGGCCGCGGCCCCCGCTGGCGAGGTACCAGCTGATGGTGACAGCAGCTTTGCTGCCCAGGAGCAGCAGGTCAAGCCGGGAGAGGGCGAGGAGCCGGTGCAGCCTTCTGCCAACATCAGCCCCTTCAGCTCCTCTGCCATTGAAGAAGGCGAGATTCCAGCAGAGGACGAGCAGGAGGCGCCAAAGGAGGTGGAGCCCCCCACAGGTAGGCTGCATGGGGGCTGGGCAGGCCGATTGACTTTGCGATTTAATTGGGCTTTGCCAGCAATCCTTCTTGTTCAGTGCCTGTCAAACCACAAACCTGCTCCGGTTTGTTTCTATGTGCAGGGTTTGAGCACGACAAGAGTGGCCGCAAGCGGTACGGGTCCGACTTCTTGTTCTTCTACGGCAACAAGTGCACAGGTGAGCAGACGCATGCTGTTTTGCCTGGGACCTTCCTGCGACAAATGTTTGGCACGTGGCTGATCACACCTGGGCCGCTGCTGGTGCTGCAGATGTGCCCAAGGGCATTGAAACGGAGACCTTCAAGCAGTTGTCGCGTGAGAACATGCCTGGCCCGCCTGGCCCGCCCATGGGCGGCCGCGGCCCGCGTGGCGGCGGCGGCTTTGGCGGTGACGACCGCTGGCAGAGTGGGCGCCTTCCATCAGGTGAGGATCTGCCGAGCTCCCTGAGGAGGCCGTCCCCGAACCTCGAGCAGGCTGCGCTGTTTTTGTGAGCCAAATGGTTGCACACGGGGCTCCACCAAGCAGCGTGCTGTGCCCATTTGATGTTGACATCGGTGGCTTGCAGGTCCCATCCCTGGTCCGCCGGGCATGCGTGCCGACCCGCGCATGGTGGGCCGTCAGCAGTCGGGGCGCCATAGGGGAGGTAAGCTTGGGCATCACCTGCTGTTTCAGCCAATTGCACACATAGCTGCGAAGCTGTGTGCATCAGTGCCCCACCTTTCAGGTCCCCACACTGCTGCCTGTCCTTTGTTTTCTGATGCCGTGCTGTGCAGGCGCGGAGGCGGACCAATGGGAGCGTGGCAAGCCGCTGCCGCCTATGCCCGGCATGCAACAATATGACGGCCGCCGCGGCGGCCCACCGCCCGGCATGCGCATGGCGGGCGGGCCAATGCACCAGCTGCACAAGACTGACAGCGCGTACAAGGTGCTGCAGCTGCTAGTTGCAGGCTCTTAGGCGCTGGTTGAAGACGGGGCCACCATGCATCGCCAAAGCACAGCACCCCACTGCTCAATTTTGCTTGCTGCTGTGTCTGTGGTCTGTAGGTGGGCGCTACCCGCACCGACGACCCAGCGGAGGAGCAGGCGCAGAAGCAGCTCAAGTCGCTGCTCAACAAGATCACCAAGGACAATTTCGCCAAGATCACAGGCCAGGTGGGTGGGAAGAGGTGGTTTGCGGATGGACCACGGCTCTTACTAGCTGCAGTGCTGTGGCAGCATGCATCACATAGCTGGCTGCCACGTGCTGCCAGCCCTTGCCCCGTCCTCACATCCTTGCACCGTTCCTACTTGGCATGGCAGATTGTGGAGGTGATCAATGAGCGCAAGCTGGCCCAGACGCTGAGTGGCTTCATCAACCAAATCTTTGACAAGGCGCTGACCGAGACGCACTTTGCAGAGCTCTACGCTGACCTAGTGGCAGCGTGAGTGCGCCGCACTGTGGGGCAGCTTGCGGGCCCCGTTCTTAAGTAGTGCACACTCTGCATCTGCCGGCTTGCTGTGTCTGCACATCTGCGCCAGCCGGCTTCCTCTGCATTAAGCATCTACCTCGACTCCAGGGTACATGCTCACTTACATGTCATTCAGCCTGCCATGCGCCTGCCGTCTACCCTCCGCCTTGCTCCTCACCATGCCTAGCCGCCCTGCTGTCTTCCGTACTGCAGGTTAAACCCTGCGCTGCCGCAATTGAAGGACGATGAGGGCAATGATGTGCAATTCCGGCGCACGCTGCTCGACAAGTGCCAGGAGGAGTTCGAGGCGGGCGTGACAGCGATGAAGGCGGTCAGTGAGCGCGAGAAGCATGCCAAGGAAACGGGCGAGGTGCCTCCGCAGGAGAGCCAGGTGCGTTGCTGCAGGGCGGAGCGCTGGTGGAGCGGTTGGCGTGCGTGCGGCAGCCTCTGGATGTGACACTTTTTGATATTTATTGCCAGTGCATCTGCCTGCCGTATGTTTCTCACTCTGCCACCACTTATGCTGCCAGGACGAGGAGGAGAAGGAGGAGGAGGAGGAGGAGGAGGAAGGGAAGGAGGAGGAGAAGGAGGAGGCCGCTGCGGAGCAGGGCGAGGTCAAGGATGAGGCCAAGGCCAAGCACGATGCAGGTGCTGCTTGGCAATGGCAGGCCTTTCTGCGCATGCGGCAAATTGCTGGCCATGGCATTGCATAGTGCAGTAGTGTTTTTCTCATGGCCTGATAAATGCTCGTGCCTGCCCCACTGCCACTGCGCCTGCTTTCCTGTCTGCGCTGTAGAGGCCGCCAAGAAGGCTGAGCTGGCAGCACGCAAAGAGGAGCGCAGAAAGGCGATGGCGGAGCTGCAGGCCCGCAAGCGCATGCTGGGCAACATCGTCTTTGTGGGCCAGCTGTTCAAGTAAGTGCAGTGCGGTGGTAGCACTATGCTCACGCTTCAATCAAGGCCCCTGTGACTGGATGTCTGTGACTGGATGTCTGGCCGGCCCCCGCTCCTAATCTTGCCGCCCCTCCCCCACCCCACTACGGCCCCGCTCTCCCTGCAGGAAGGGCGTGCTGACGGAGACCGTGATGCATACATGCATCAAGCAGCTGCTGGAGGAGGTGGGCAACCCCAAGCCCGAGGATGTGGAGTGCATGTGCAAGCTGCTTGCCACGGTGGGCGGCCTGTTGGATGCGTCTACCAAACAGGTCAAGAACTTCAACAATGGCAAGCCTGCCAGCACCAAGGTGAGTGCGCTTGCAGCTGCCATGCTGCCATGCGCTGTTGCTTTTGCTGTGGTGAAGCCATCGATGACCTCACCTCCATTGAGCTGGCTTGCCACATCTGTTGGTTGCCGGTGAGCCTGCAGGAGGTGATGAACGTGTACTTCAGCCGCATTGAGACACTGGCACGCAATGAGGCGGCGCTGGACTCGCGCCACCGCTTCATGCTCATTGACCTCATTGAGCAGCGCAGAAATCGGTGGCGGCCGCGCAAGGAGGTTAGTGGAGTTGGTGGTGCGAATGGGCCTGGCATGATGGGTTGGAGTGTGGAGGGTAATGGAATCCTGCGAAAGCTGTGTTGCAGGCAGCTTTGTTCTGCAGCTGTGGCTGTTGCCCGACCTCTCGGCCGCGCTTGCGCTGCGCTAGATGGCCTTGGGCGCTCGCTGGTTTACTCCCTCGCTGCGCCCCGTGTCGCCACGGATGTCACTGCTGCAGGCTGAGGGCCCCAAGACGATTGAGGAGATCCATCGCGAGGAGGCCCTCAAGCGGAGCCGGAGTGCCATGCTAGACCGGCAGCAGTCAGGTCGCGGCGATTCCTTCCGCGGGCCACGCGGCGGACCCCCGCCAGGGTGCGTGTCTGCTGTCACCTTCCCAGCTTTGTGGCAGTGCTGCATGCTAAGCAGCACCGTGAGGTAGTGGCATATCAACCTCATCAGATATGTTGCTGCCAATGCTGCCTGCTGGTGACAGCTGTCTCCGCCCGATTCTTGATTTCCTCCCTTCAGGCGGCCTCCCTTTGACAACCGCGTTGATGCGCCAATCCGGGCCATGAACCGCGTCGGCTCCAACGATTTCCTGGGGCCTGGCGGCCAGCAGAGCTTCCGACCAGGGGGCAGGCCTGGGCCGCAGCGCGGTGGCGACAGGTGAGGATGGTGGGATGTTCTGGGTGGTGGGATGCAGCCGTGTGGCAGGGCAGCCAAAGGTGTTGAGCACAACAGAGTTCGGCATGCCTTGCACCATTTGCATGCCTGCTACGGCACCACGCAAGCATTGTCAGGGTGGGGCGCTGTTTCTCCATAGCGTCACATCCTTGGGTTGCTTTGCAAGAGCGGAAACCACAGCACACGGCACGCGGGTGGCCTGCCCCATAGGCTAACCTGTGACTTAATCGTGCAGGGACATTTCAGCACCCGCGCGCAGCAGTTGTGTTTGTTGTGCTGTCTGCAAGCAGTGCAATGCCGCACTTATCACTGATTGCCATTCCTCTGTTCCTTCTGCTTCTCGCCCCCATCTCTTGCTTCCCATAGGGCGGGTTCTGCAGCTGCTGGACCCCAAGAACGGCAGTCTTCTGGGCGGCAGCAGGGGCCACCTGCGCCGCCTGCTCGTGGTGAGCGTGCGCCCGAGCCTGCTGCAGCGGCAGAGCCTGAGCCGGAGCCGGAGCCTGAGCCTGAGCCTGCATCTGTGGACGGCCTGTCTGAGGACGAGGTGCGGACCAAGGCCAAGGCACTCTTGGCGGAGCTGTACAACACCAAGGACGTTAAGGAAGGCATCATCTGCATCAAGTGAGTCGCATGGACTGGGCAGCTGCTGAGCATGCTGTTGAAACAGTTGGTGTCCTCTCATTGCTACTCTCAATGAACAACACCCCGGCATGGTCCGTCCATAGGACTAACATGCGTGTGCCATTCCCACCCGCCTGCCCCGCAGGGAGCTTGTGGATCTGGGTGCGGATGTGCCATTGTTGTACGAGGTCATGATGACCACGAGCCTGGAGACCAAGGGCACTGACTGGGACATGCTGGCGGCACTGCTGCGCAGCTGCGCGGAGGAAAGCGTGCTGCAGGTGTGAACGGTTGAGTTGTGCACGCAGCATGCAATGAGGCTGGTAATAGCCGCTGCATTGGGCCGTGCGAGCTGCTCCTGCAATCTGCTGTTGGCTCGCCCTGGTTGCTCGTACAAGCTGTGCTCTTTATTCATGCGTTGCATCCCGCTCTTCCCTGAGTGTACAGAGCGCTGATTTGGAGCGTGGTGCGCGGCAGCTGCTGGACAACTTGGATGATCTATCCGTCGATGTGCCCAAGGCACCGGTGCAGGTGAGTGTTTTGATCATGCTAAAATTTATTAGAGCAGGCTGATTGCATCCTTCCCCTTTACCCAGAAAGCAGCAGGAGTTCTTTTCAGGTCTGACGCAAACTCTGCACACCTGTTCCGCACCCGCAGGTTGGTGCCATCTTGGGCGAACTGGTGGCATCCGGCAGCGCCGACCTGCGTGCGCTTTTGGAACACATTCGCACTGCAGACGCAAACCCCGATGAAATCCAGGCAAGGCGATTTCTGTGGCTGACGCTTGATCGCGTCGCAGTCCCTTGGCCCTCTTCTCTACTGCTGGCCCATCGTCTTATGACTTCTGCGTGCTCATGCAGGACGGCGAGGATACAATGCTTGTGGGTGGTGGTGGCGCAGCCAAGACGGTGGGCAGCTTGCTGCAGAAGCTGGCGGAACTCAAGGGCGAGGAAGCGGCGCACGAGGCGTGGCAGGCCACTGGCGAGCAGCTAGCAGCCTTCCTGCCGCAGGCCGACCGCGAGGATGAAGCTGCAGTCAAGAGCCTGGCAGAGAAGTTTGGCCTGCTGTCGATAGCTTGCTGAGGGCCGACGCTGCCTCATGCAAGCCCCGTTTATTTCCCGCTGCTTCTTCCCTGCTCCTGTTGTCTCCTTGTCCGCTGGTTCCTCTCTCTGCACTCGGTGGTGTCAGCTTAAGACAGTGCTGCCCCGTCCCCTGTGTGTTTACAACTGCCAACTAGCTTCTGTTCCGCTTTCCTCGCCACTCTATTTTACAGTTTTGGTGTTGGATTTTCTTTGCCCGGACCATCGGGCGCATTGCCCTTCGACATGTTGCCGAGCGCTCACAAGTTCTGCCCCAAGCTTTCTGACTTACAATGGCTTGACGTTGGTGCCAGACATGCAACCGAGAGCAACCGTGGCAGATGCAGCAAGGTTGTTAGGGGCGGCTGACCAGCATGTGGTTGTGCTAGGGTTTCCAGACTCCTCAGAGCTTGACTTGACTTACAGAGCGGATTCGGAGCCAGCGAGGCTCAAACACGCATTGCGGCGGCGTAAAACATGGCAGTCATTGATAAATGAAGCAACTCTATTCTGGTCTTGGGACAAAAAGCATGGGATGGACGTGGGCAAATCAGGGGGGAAGAGATCTGCGTACTCAAAGCGCAGATGGTCGTAAATGGGGCAGTGGAAAACCATATGGGTCTCGTCTTCAATGGCGGGAGAAGCACACAAGAGGCAGGTGCGTTCATGGGTGGGGGCCTGGATGGCCTTTGGCAAATAGCGTTCCCGTTCGATGCGAAGGTCATGGCAACTGGTTCTAAAGCGAGTGAGGGCGATACGGAGATTGGGGTCATATTTGGGGTCAGAGTTGTCACGCCGCTGACATCCATGCCCACACGCCGTCTGGAGTCTGGGGGTTGGGGGGCCAAGCATGGGCGGTGGGCGGCGGCTGGCCTGGAAGAGGCCCCTGAGGAGGTTTGGATCCCTTTTGGCCGGTCAAATTGGTACCCAGGTGACCCTCCTTATTTCACACAATTATTATTATTACATTGTATGTAGTCTGTCTTTGGTCAACCACTGAACCGTCACAGACTGTTATCCATGCGTTGTAAAGGTGGAAGAGAAATGGGTGGGAAGGAGGGTAGTCCAGACAACATGAAAATTAGGAGTGGAAAGCACAAGCAAAATGCTGGGGGGTAGAAACCCGGGCCAAGGCAGGAAAGCACAAAAGAAAAGAGACAAAAAACAGGAGGAAGGGGGAAGGGGAAGGAGGGAGGCACAACAGGAAGTTAGGAGTTAGTGGCGGTGCAATCTGTACAGAGCACGACAGAAACTGGAAAGTTGGATGGCATCAGGGAGAGTGAAAAATGCATACACAGACTCAGTATGTGCAGGGGTGAAATGCAGGGGGTACTGAGCGCGCAGCTGCGCAGCCCGTGGGCATCGAAACAATGCGTGTTGCACATCCTCCACATGCCGCTCGCCCGCTGCCGCACAATGAGAGCAGAGCCGGTCCGCCCGCTGCTGACGCTGCCAGCGCCCCAACTCCTCCGCCAGCCAATGCGAGCCGGTGCGAAGCTGCGCCAACGCACGCCAGCGGCCTCGGTGCTGGAGGGTGAAAAGGTAGCCAGGCAGTCCGTCGGCTGTGTCGGCACCGGTGGCAGCAACGTACTCACGGATGCGGGTGCCCTGCGCAGTGTACAGCTGCTGGCGGAAGGAAGCTGCGGCAGCCTCGACAATGTCAGACACACCCACAGGCTGGGGCTGGCGCAAATCCACAGTAGCCCCATATGCATGCAACGTTGCTGCCACCTGACCAGCCCAAGGTTGCCCTGCCAACCCCACACCCCCGGCCTCAACAGCCAATGCACAGCTGTGTTGTGAGAGAAGGGCTTTACACCTGACTGCGGAGGGTAGTCACTGAGGAAGGGCACTAAGGAGAATAACAAACAAGGCGAAATGCAGGGGATTATATGCATGCATGGGAGAATGGCCAGATGGCGGGTGGCCGCCAGATGTCGCCGCCAGCTGGAGGGTGCTGACAGATGGCATTGGGTCGGGGGAGCTGACCGTTGGGTTTTGCCAGCTGGCGCGGGTGTGGGGCGCGTGGCTTTCGGTTTGGCCATCTGGCTTTCGGTCTGGCCGCGTCCCTACGCGGTGGGTGCTGTAGGTGAGCAGGCTGGACAGCTGGCGGGCGCTGGTGCAGCCAGGTGGCCCGCCGTCCAACACTCCCACGCAGACTGCTCAACTGCAGGGGGTGATGCCCATAGCGGTGCGGCAGTAGTCGAACTTGGTTGCCGGCACGGGCTTGGTCAGGGAGTCGGCGACCATGTGGTCAGTCTTGATGTAGGAGAAGGAAACGTCGTTGCGTGCCACGCGCTCGCGGGCAAAGTGGTAGATGACGTCGATGTGCTTGGAGCGCATGGAGAAGACGGGGTTCTTGAGCAGCTTGATGGCGCCCTGGCTATCAGCCAGCATGGGGATGGTTTGGATGGGCTGGCCCAGGTTGCCCAACACGGTGCGCAGCCAGAGGGCCTCCTTGATGGCGGCGGCTGCCGCCATGTACTCGGCCTCGGTGGTGGAGGCCGCCACGGTCTGCTGC